AGAATTCTCAAGCCAACTTTGAAAAACGTTATTGTACATTTTGAAAGTATGGTATTCTACCAAAATTTGGCATATCCAATTAATCTTTATTGCCAAGAGTCAACTTTTAGCAACTAGATTTCTCCATGACAATCTGCCCTCCCCCCCCCCCCCCGTTTGTCCTTCAGGTCTTCTAGCACTGCACACATCATCACTGTAACTGAGTCTATCTACTTTATAAATATTTGACTACAGGTATACCTATTTCTCTATCCTGACATATTCACCTTTATAAAACTCATAGTTCGTGAAATTTGGAAATCCGCCTGGAAATGGAAATGCTTCACTATGATCCATATCTTACTTGCACAGCTTTGATCCTTTGATATGAAGTTTTTGATAGAGAGGAAAAACAGGAGACCAGGAAGCACAGCAAGAGAGTTGTGTTTTCTTTGGCAGTTTGGTTGCTGCAGTGTAAATGCAAAGCCTTGTGACAGGAAATCAGATGGTTATTTTTCTCCGTACTGTAAATGATGCTATTGCGCAGTAATTGGACATCTGGGAACACGGATGCCATAATATCAGTTGATATCCCTTGAGTAAATGTTTTTCACTCCCGACTGATCATGCAATCACAGGTTTTCTGTAGCATGTGTTTAGATATAAGTGAGCCAGTGTTATGTCAGGCTTATGCAGTACCTACAGCACAAAGAGTTTCCTTGCTGAATTAGAAAACTATTCTGGGGGATTTCCAATTTAGGGCATGTGGAGCATACTCTGAGTCAATCTATATTTTCAGATTAGAGCATGTACCCACATACTCAGTTCAACTAGCAAAAATATACCTGGATGTTTATTTGTTAAACTTCAGCAAAGATCAGAAACAGTTACTGTAATTGGCAAACAGAATAAAAGGCAAGCAAAAAAAAAAAAAAACCTCACAGGAAACAGTTTATATTAGAGTTTGCAATCTTGGCAACTTTAAGATTCATGGACTGGCTTTAAGACACGCTAGCTGGGGAATTATGGGAATTAAAGTCCACATACGATTTATCCATATATTTATATCAAAAGGCACAGAACCATCAGAGCTACTGGATACAACACTTCAGTTAATTATTTAGCATGGTGGGCTCTGAAGAAGCAGGATAGAAGGAGTAGTGATGCTTTTCAACTTTGCTATTGGAGAAGATTCCTGAGAATACCTAGATACTTCAAAAATTGGATCACATTGGATGATCCATATTAGATGAATGAATGTTTGATCATATTGAACAAATTGGGTTAAATCATCCAAAGTTCTTGCGTGCAGCAGAAAGGGCCAGTCTCAAATTATCATTATTTTGGACACATTATGGATTGAGAAATCCACAATACAGCAAATATGGAAAGAAAAAAAGGACCACTGGCAACAAGGTGGATGGATTCAACTACATCAATGATAGAGGCACCTTTGGAAAATCTGAAGGGTCAGGCTGGAGATAGATCTTCCTGGAGAAAAATCTATTTATCTAGTCCAGTGTTTCTCAACCTTGACAATTTTAAGGCATGTGGACTTCAACTCCCAGAATTCCACAGCCAGCAATGCTGGCTGTGGAATTCTGGGAGTTGAAGTCCACATGCCTTAAAATTGTCAAGGTTGAGAAACACTGATCTAGTCACTAAGAGTTGATACTGACTTGATAGCACATAATCAATAAATCGAGTAGCATGGACAGTCCTAAAAGGAGTGACCTCTGGTTATTCCAGCCTTTTAATGAACATAATGGCAGCTGAATAAAGAAAGTAGGACACAAGGTCAACCCTCCTATATTCTGCACCAGGAAGCAAACAATTCAGTGGATTAAATGGACATGATGTATCCACCAACATGGACCTGGCTAACCTACTTCACAGGGCTGCTTTGGCCAAGAAAAAATGAAGGAAGACCCTCCCCCCCCCCGTGCACACCACCACTTTGAAGCTCTTTGTAATATCACCTAGCCATTGTTTGATTATAAAAAGGCTCTCGTTCTTATTGTTCTTTTGGCTCCAAAATGGTTGGACGACTCTAGATCAGCGACTTCCAATCTTTTGGGCACTAGGGACCAGTTCCGTGGAGAAAGATGTACCGGAGGGGTGTGTGGTTTTGCATGCTGCCTGCATCCCACAGATGGGGCTTCAATTATTTGTGTAGACCAGTTGCTGGCATGCCATGGACTGGTCCCAGTCTACGGGTTGGGGACCCCTGCTCTAGAACATGGGTCTTCAAAAGTGGCCCTTTTATGACTTGTGGACTTCAACTCCCAGAATTCCTCAGGCAGGCACTCTGGCTGAGGAATTCTGGGAGTTGAAGTCCACAAGGCATAAAAGGGCCAAGTTTGAAGATCCCTGCTGTAGAAGATTCTATTAAGTCTGTTTCAGGAAAATGACCATCAAGAGAAAATGGGATAGAAATATAATAAAAATATAGACATTTTGGATGTAGGGCTAACAACTAGAGCCTAGGCTAAAGGCTAAGCCATAGAGTGTCACTACCATCTATTTTGTTTGCTAATGTGCTCCTTAAAGCCTAAAATGGATTACACAAAGCTAGAGTTAATAACTTACTTATATGCAGAGCACATCATGAGAAAGGCAGGGCTAGATGAATCAAAATTAAGATTGCCGGGAGAAATATCAACAACCTCAGATATGCAGATGATACCACTCTAATGGCAGAAAGTGAAGAGGAACTAAAGAGCCTCTTGATGCAGGTGAAGAAGGAGAGTGCAAAAGTTGGCTTGAAACTCAACATTAAGAAAACCAAAATCATGGCATCCAGTCCTCTCAATTCCTGGCAAGTAGATGGGGAAGAAATGGAGGTAGTGACAGATTTTATTTTTCTGGGCTCCAAGATTACCTCAGATGGGGACTGCAGCCAAGAAATTAAAAGACGCTTGCTCCTGGGGAGGAAAGCTATGGCAAATCTAGACAGCATACTAAAAAGCAGAGACATCACCCTGCCAACAAAAGTGCGTATAGTCCAGGCCATGGTTTTCCCGGTTGCAATGTATGGCTGTGAAAGTTGGACCATAAGAAAGGCTGAGCGCCAAAGAATTGAGGCCTTTGAACTATGGTGCTGGAGAAGACTCCTGCGAGTCCCTTGGACTTCAAGGCGTTCAAACCGGTCAGTCCTAGAAGAGATCAACCCCGACTGCTCTTTAGAAGGCCAGATCCTGAAGTTGAAACTCAAGTACTTTGGCCACCTAATGAGAAGGAAGGAGTCACTGGAGAAGAGCCTAATGCTGGGAAAGATTGAGGGCAATAGAAGAAGGGGACGACAGAGAATAAGATGGCTGGATGGAGTCACTGAAGCAGTAGGTGTGAACTTAAATGGACTCCAGAAGATGGTAGAGGACAGGAAGACCTGGAGGAACGTTGTCCATGGGGTTGCAATGAGTTGGACACGACTTCGCAATTAACAACAACAAGAGTTAATAACAAATTGGGGATGAGAAACTGCAACAGTCGTGTGAAAAATGGCCATAAGTCACATTTTTCAGTGCCATTGTAATTTCAGTCACTAAATGAATGGTTTTAAGTAGAGGACTACCTGTATATATTTACAGAATGCTATAGACAGTGGTTGATATTGACTTTCCCTCCCCTTAGGCTGCTTTCTTCATAGCTAAGAATAAAACTGCTAGTTATGTCATTATCTGTTTCTTACATACATTTGGATACAGATGGCAATTACTTGGGCTACAGTACAGCTTATGTTATGTCTGGGAAGGGCTTTAACTGCAAATTAAGCCACTAAAACCATTTTCATTGGAAAAATACACATAATATTGCTGGCTGATAAAAGGAAAGTTGGTCAGCCAGTCTGTTCAACTATGTAATCTATCTCAAAGTTTGTAAACTGTAAAAGAAAATCTGTAGCTAATTTAACAAACATCTGCACTTTGCTTCAGAAGGTAGCTAGTTTAACTATTTGAAATATACAGATGTCAGGGATCTAATACTAGTAATACTAATAATAAAGTTGGAAGGGGCCTTGGAGGTCATCTAGTCCAACCCCCTGCTCAGGCAGGCAACCCTATATCATTTCAGACAAATGGCTGTCCAGTCTCTTCTTAAAAACTTAGTGTTTGGAGCATTTGCAACTTCTGGAGGCAAGTCATTCCACTGGTTAATTGTTCCGACTGTCAAGAAATTTCTCCTTAGTTCCTGACAGTCAGAACAATTAATCAGTGGAACAACCTGCCTCCAGATTGTTGTTAAGACACTAGAGTTGTCTTAATGATGTAACCGTGTTTTTCAAATTTGACAAATTTTAAGAAGTGTGATACTTCAACTCCCAGAACTCCCCAGACAGCGCAAAAATCTGGAATATTAAATTTCTCTCTCACACGCACACCCCCAGAAAGAAAACGATCTCCCCTGGAAAACATTCCGCAAATGCAGGAAGCTGAGTTCAAGCAAGTTGCATGAACGCAGCCCGTGAGACTTCAACTCCTCGGATTTCTTCACCCATCATTGCGAGCGCTGCAGCTCCGCAGTCCTGGGGGCGCCAGCTTGGGGAAGGAGGAGGTGGCACGTCATTAGCAGACCCCGCTCTCCGATCACTTTCAACCAGCAGGAAAGAGAAGCGCTGAAACCGAGCCGCTTATAAAGGCAGCCTAAAAGTGGTACGTTCCACCCCTCCCTAAAAGATGCTCCCGCTTCCGCTCTCCCCTCCCCCCGCCGCTTCTCGAAAGAGACAGACTCGAAGTGGTACAGCCCGCTCCGCTCCTCCAAAGACTGCCCCACCCTCCCGCTCTGCCACGTGCCGCTCTCCTTTCCCCCCTCCCTCCCTCCCTCCCTCCCTCGTTTCTCACATCTGGCCCCACCCCTAGCGCGCGCCTCGCCCGACTCCTCCCACCCATTTCCCGCGACGCTTCCCATTGGCGGTTGGCCGCTCCCCTTGTTCTCTTTTCCCCGCCCTTCCATCACTTCCTGGGCTCGCAGGCGCGCGCGCGCGCACACACACACGAAGGGGGGGGAAAGGGGGGGGAGGGAGTAAGGGGGCCGGCCCTCAGTGACAGGCCGCGGTCGGTCTGGCTGGCTGCGTGATGGCGGGCGGCTGGCGGCGGCCGCTCCGAGGTTTCTTGTGGTGGCGGCGGCCGCTGCGGGTGCCACGGTCGCTGCTAGCGGAAGGACGTCCGCGTCGCGGGTAAAAGGGAAGCGCTCGGCCTCTGCGCGGATGGGGAGCGGCGGTTGCGAAAGAGGGCGGCGGCCTCCTCCTCCTCCTTCTTCTCAGCACCGCCGGTCTTTCTGACAGAGCGTGTTTCTTCTCGGGTCGGGAGGGAAAGGAAGTTCGCCCGCCGCCGCCGGCTGGGAGCCACCGAGCCGCCCGCCGGACGAGGGGATGTTGCGCTGGATCCGGCAGCAGCTGGTAGGTGGAGCGGGGCGCGGGGCGGCCTTCCAGGAGCGGCAGGAAAGCCCCGTCCCCTCTTCTTCAGCTTTCTCCCCCATCCACTGAGGAGGCCCCGGCCCTCACAGGGGGCCCCACGAGGGTTGCCGACGGGGCGGCTTTGGACTCCCGCGCTTTCCTCCTCCCAGCAGCTGCTCGGCCCCGCAAGTGCCCAGCACACGCCCCAAAGGCCAGTTTTGAGAGGCCCGTTGCAGACTTTTCCCTCTTTTTTAATTTTTAATTTTTATTGTCATTTCGTCCCAACCCACATGGCCCGGCGCAGCAAGAAGAGCTGCCTTTGCTTTGCAAAAGTCCCTCGTCGCAGGAGGTGCAGGTCAAGGAAGTGCTGCTGGCTGACCCAACGTGGATTCGGGTCTCTTGGCTGGGATATTTGTAATTTGTGATCGCCTCTTTCTGTAGCTCCCCTGTGCAAGTAGTCCTCAACTTAACAACAGTTCATTTAATGGCCATTCGAAGTTACCATGGCACTGAAAAAAGTGGCTTCTGACCATTTTTCACACTGATGACCAGGGCAACGTTGCTTGGCAACTGACTCATATTTATGACAGTTGCAGCGTCCCGCAGTGTTGTATGATCCCCTTTTGCGACCACCTGACAAGCAAAGTCAATGGGGAAATGCAGAGTCACTTAACCACCGTTTTACTAATTAACAACTGCAGTGATTCACTTAACTGGGGCAAGAAAGGTTGTAAAATGAGGCAAAACTCCCTTAACTGTCTTGGCAACAGAAATGTTGGGCTCAATTGTGGTCGTAAATCGAGGACTACCTGTAAACCCTTAGCTTCAACCCAAACTTTTTTTTTTTTTCTGGTACTGTTTAGAGGTGGCAGGTGAGTGAAAAAGGTTACTCTGATAATTGCCAGAAAGTTCACTTGGGAGCAGCTGGGTTTCTGGGAGGAGAAGGAAGTTGCCAAGCTGTGGCCAGCTGAGCCCTTTGCTTGTTCAAGGTGTTTTTCCAAAGTGCAGTGGATTTGCAGTGCTGTAATGTCAGAATGGGTGCTCTTCATTTTTCCACTTCTTTCATAGAGGTTAGCACTACATCTATGATTTCTGGGCTTTGTTCTGGTTTTTTTCCCTTCCACAAAAATGTCAGAATTGAAATTAAGATCTGTTCTAGCCCCATTCCTGTGATAATTAATCATGGTGATTTACTTTAAAATCCTGAATTGTGTCTTTTCAAGGCATAACAAAGCTGTGGTTTGTTAGGAAGCAGCACATTTTTTAGGAATAAAGGTGGGCGGATCAGCTGGGAAAAATATACTCATTTCCTCTTGGCTGTCTCTTTCTAAATGTTGTTTTATCTTTTGCTTTAACTCCCAGCTCCATCTCGTTTCCTAATGCCTAGAAAACATTTAGACAGATAAGGTGTGATTCAAATTTCCTGCTTTTTAGAACAAATGTTAATAAAACAATTTGGGGCATGTTTTTTTGGTAACACAAAATACAGTAAATGAGAGCGTATATCTGGACCTCATAGTAAAAGTAAATATTCATTTATGTTAATTGCCTTCTCCCATCCCCAAGACCATCTTATGTTTGTGTAATCAAAATTATTTGCCAGCTAATGGGGAAAAATAATATTAAAATTGCCTGAATGATTCATGAGGAGCGGCAGTGATAGCCAATACGTCAATTTTAATTGTTAATATAGTAAATATCAAATATAACTAGTATAAACAAAATCTGGGCAGGGGGATGACTTCTATTTTTTTTAAAAGTGGGAAGAGGTTCTCAGAAAAAAAGTTTAAGAAACACTCTTTTAGATCAACCATAAAATGAGCAATATAATTTAATAATGCATCAGAAAGGTGTAAACTACTACAACTAAATGAAGAAAAATGCTTCAAATAACTCAAGATCCATCTAATCAATTTTAATAGCTTGTTTATTTTTAACGGATTACATTTACAACACTGGCTTGGTATTCATAGCAGGATTAAACCTTCTTATATAACCACCTCAGAGAAGGTTCATTATAAATAAAAATATAATACACTTCTAAACAGCATTTAGTGATTTAATATCTCCTGGAATTTTATTAGCAGTAATTCAAGAGTCCTTTTCACAAATTGGCTCTAGAGTATTTCATTTGAAATGCAGTTAGCATTAATTTTTCTTGACAGCATATAGTGCTTTGGTGTTGAAGCTAAACTAGTTTTGGTATAATACGGTTTTTCATACCTAGGGGCAAGAGCTTTCTTTCCCCATGGGGCTTGGTAATTCACTTCATACATTGTAGGAGACTGTCTTAGATTAAATTGTTTTCACTGTTTGATTAGAGCTGAGAAATGGTTGTGATGATTTGTATTTCGTCTTCCATATATGCTAATTACATTTGCTGATAGGATTTAACACTTGACAGCTCCCTAATACGATAATCCAAAAATTTCCCAGAAGGGTCAGACAAAAATGACAAAATAGTAAATGTGCCGGGTACATAGCTTCCTCAGTCTGATGCTCTCCAGATTGCTGCAGATCCTGAATGTGCAGTTAACTGAGTGATCTGATCATTTTTGGTCCCATCATTTTTAAAGAGGACCTGGCTGAGGAAGGCTGTCTAGTATAATCTTAGGTATCTCTGCATTATTCACTGGGTTTTGATTTTACTTTTCTCATTAGTTGTGTTCAGAACAATGAAATTGTGTAATTTTTATAAGATGCACTTTTTACTCTTTATAATGTATTCTAGAAAAGAAAATACCCTATGTTGATTACCCAAAAATAGACATATACGTTCTTCCTTCATTTGTATGCTGTTAGATATATTTAGCACTCTTTGTAGAAAGACTGTTTATGTCTCATTAATGAGAAACTTCATTCTAGAAGGGGCTATTAATCTAGATATTTAATTATTTTTTTTAAAAAAATGTTATATTAGCCTAAGTCAGTGGTGGCGAACCTATGGCACGGGTGCCAGAGGCGGCAGTCAGAGCCCTCTCTGTGGGCACGCACGCTGTCGCCCCAGTCCTAGGCCTTCAGCTGGGTTTTATAAAACCTTTTTCACTTTAGGCCTCCGTCGCCGTGTGCAAAAAAAAAAAAGGTTCAATAAATCAGTCAATTTCAACTTCTCGTGGGGAAAAAAAGATGTTGCAAAGTTGGAATTGATTGAACTTTTTAGTCCCACCCAGTCTGCCGTTACCACTGCAGCCACGTCCACCCAATGGGCCACACCCACCTGGCACCCAACTATGCATAAGTGGGTTTTGGGTTGCAGTTTGGGCACTCAGTCTCTAAAAGGTTCGCCATCACTCGCCTAAGTATTAATTGTATGTGCTCATTTATTAATCATCTATACAAAATTTTCAGTATTTCACGGAAGTAGGAAGGTAATGGACTTATGATGAGGATTCGTTGTAAACTAGATGTCTCTGAGGAAGTGGAGATGGCATTGCAATGAGTTCAGCTACACCAGGGGTCCCCAACCCCCAGTCCGTGGACTGGCACCAGGCTGCGGCATACCAGCAACCGGGCCGCGCAAACAAGTGAAGGCCCATCCGCTGGATACAGGCAGCACACGAAACCATGCCCCCTCTAGTTCATGGAAAAATCTTTCTCCACAGAACCGGTCCCTGCTGCCCAAAAGGTTGGGGGCCTGTGAGCTAGACAGCATTTTCTGGACAGCGAAACCTCTCCAGATAAAAGAGAGATCATGAGATCATCCAGTTGTACTCCGGATAGCCGTTCGTTGTGAGTCAACTGTTAGGAACTGAGTTGGCTCATGAATGGAACGGCTGAGAGTCTAGGGACTCCATCAAGCTCACAACCACAACGTAGCCTTATGGACACAAACCTCTGTCAAACCTAATTTTTAAATCACTTTTCGGAATTGCTTTTTAGCTGCTTTTCAACTATTAATTTTCCAATCGACCTGTCTAATAATATGCATTGGGTAAGTTCACAAAAAATATTATAAAAAGAAGTATAATGACATTGTAAAATGTTTCTGGAATAAGCTGCAAAAGGAACATTGATTTTTTTGAAAGTTTTAAATAGACTAGGGTCCAGATATATTTGAAATAAAGATTTTGAAATTGTTTATGGGAATCCTTTCCTGTAGAAAAACGCTGCTTTGCATTCTTTAAAGAAAACATGATAGAATGACAATTTTGACATTGGACACTAGAGGGAGCCAGGGGCAACTAAAGATTTAAGGAGAACGCTTAAATTTGACTTATTTACAAAGAATGGAGCAAAATAACATGGAACATATTTTAAATTATTTGTGAGCAGTGGTTCCAGAAGTTAATCTTCAAAGTATCTACCATTATAGATAGACGGCTTTTAAGAGATGTTGTGGAAGAGGAACAAGTTTTGCCGGACAGGGTTGGGACTGATCTGAAAAAAACATGCCAGGCTGCAAGACTGACATGGAAAAAAATGTTACCCTGGATATACAAATAAAACCAGCTGATGTCTTAATAACTGAAAGGAATGTACAAATTGCAAACCAAAAGACTTTTTTATATTGGATTTACAAAAGAGATCTATTAAAGTTCTGAAGGATTTAGTAGGAAGGGACAGAGAAAAAATGAAAAGAAAACAAGCTCCAGGATATTATTTGAAGGAATTAAATTGTATAAAAGGAAGGAATATAAAGTGGCTTTATTTGATCAAGATTAAAATAGTTTTATTGTTATTTCTGGCATCTCTTAATGGACTTTTTGCTGATTAGGACTGAATGATGAGTTTATAAGGATCAGTTTATAGATGAGATATGGGATGAAGAGATTTTTTTGTTGTATTCTAAGTTAAGGTGATAAGTTGTTAAAATTTTTTATAGTTGTGACAAAAGGGGAGTTATTTATATATTTTCTTTTCCTTTGGTGCATTTTACCATTTTTTCCTTTTTTGCACTATTTTTCTTTTTTATTTTCTTTTTTGTAGTTTCTACTAGTTTTTATATGCCTATAAACGTTAATAAAATTATTATTTGCAATAGTGATGAATATCTGTAGCTTGGG